CAGGAGAACACACAAATCTAAGAGAGTTTTATCCATTGTTTGCCATCAAGCAAGTTTCGATTGGTTTCAGAAACACACCACAAAGTGGCCAGGCAGTCTTTTGTCTAAGCTACAGGGCAGGTCACTCAAGTCCTGGTCATCCACCCCCTGCCCCAAGCAGCAGCCCCGACATCAGGTCTCAGGACCTTCTGCTCATACCAGAGGTGGCACAGGAAAGACACCCTAGGGTCTACAAAGGACAGGGTAGAGAAAGACCCTAGAGTCCACTGCTGGGCAGAGATAAAGGAAACTACCCCCAGCCACTTCACTTGTGGAATGAGCTCGGTGGTGCCCCCACAGACCTAGGCTGGGAAGGGCGCTCCCTTCTCTGTGCCCATGGTGCCCTGCCGTGGCACTGATATCAGATGCTTTTCAGCTCCAGGCTGGGCACCATGCATTGAAGCTTGGCCAGTCCAACTGCCGGCTCAGTTATACTAAATTCTCACTAGCATAGCCGAAGAGTCCTAATTATCACAGAGACCTCCGCCCTGGTACAGACAAAATGTCAGGCTCCTGAGGGGGCGGGCAACAGAGCTTCTGAGGCATCACCTCCCTCTTTCCTAGCAAAAGGCCAGCTCCCCAGCTGCCCAGCATGTGAGACACTGTGAGGAAAAGGTGGCTGGAGCTGTCAATACAAACAGCAGCAGGCTTGGCAGGGAAACTTTGTGTCTCAGAGGACAATCAGAGCCGAGCAGAGAGAAGCCAAGTTTAATTCACACCTGCCTGACAGGTTCTAGCTTCTGCAGGGAGAGAGGGGATTGGCCAGGGGCCTGACCACATACCAGGTGCATGAGATTCAGGTGGCTTCTCATCAGGAGTGCAGCTAAGGCAGGGAGGACCTGGGGAGGACAGTGGCAGCAACCAACAGGAGAAGTCAGACAGCAGCAGCAGGAATGACAACCGGAGTACCATGCTTGGAATGTGTACATTCTCCAGAACAAGCTTGGCTGTAGGTGGTTCACATTCCATTTTATTTAATCTTTAGATAACCTTACAGGATATACCTTGCTATTGCTCCTATTTTTCAAATGAAGAAGCTCATGTTCATATTAGGAAGGTGACTTGTCTACACCCACATGGATATTTGGTGGTGTAGACAGGATTCAAACTCAGATCATCAGCCACTGTCTTGCACCAGTTTGGTTCCCACTGTGTGCTTCCTTTCCCCTGCCCCGCCTCCCTCACTCCTCCCCATCCTCCAATGCCCAGCTCCAGCTACTGTGCCAGGATGCCATCCTGGCCTGCACAGGCTTCACCAAGCTCATCCAGTCTGGGCAGCAGGCCTGTTTCTACTGCCTTTTATGGTGGCCAACATGCCATCCTGACTACCGAGAGTTCCAAAGTGGGCAGCAGACATGGTCCTCTCTCTTAGCGTCCTAGCACAGCATAAGGAATACACTGCTTGCTCAATAAATATTTAAGAAAGCAAGGGAGGGAGGGAAGAAGAATGGATTTTTCCCTGAAAGTCTTTACTGCACATTCATTTTTCATGGGATAGGAAAAACCACAGAAAGCTGCACATGGCGCTTCTTACCCTTGCTGGAGAAGTCCCTCTGTGCCAAGAGCTGACACCAAAGCCAAGGCCTCAGGACCCACCTGAGTCCCAGGAAACTGCCTTCCTCAGGCCCCTTTGCAGTCAACTTCTAGCAGTAAGAGAAACAGCAGATCCTGCAGGGTGTAGCTGGCAAAGCTGCATCAGTCATGGTGAGTACTTTACCAGCCTCTCTCTGTGTGAGACACACTGTCAGGAGGACCCTCAAGAGCTCAGCTCTTAGATTCAGAAACCTACAGTCTCCAAGTGGTGTTTGTAGTGTATGACTGTCAGAGACACCCAGAAAACACAAATATGCAGTTTGGGGACTGCATTCCTTACTTGAGCCAAGGGAAAGGGTGGTTACAAGTTAGGTAGCAATGTCACGAGGTCCAGCAGTGGTCTCCCCGTGCAATGGACTGAAGATATTATTAGAGGGCAGAATCAATGATTCCAGGCAGGGGAGAAGACAGTGCTTGAATCTATGACCTGGGCCTGACATGGCAGATGAAAGGCCAAGTGATGAGGACAGAGCCCATTCAAACTGCCACCACCTCATAGGATACCATGCCCGGGTTGTTCACATTTGAACCATCTAAATGATATCTGCACATGTGCCACGCCCTCAGCCTCCAGTGGTCCTTTAGAACACCTAATACAGGTCACTTCTGATTCCGGAGGCTGCAACATGATGGAGCCCTCCACACTTTTAAAAAAGCTTTATGTCCACAGCCTCTTATGATTTTCACCAGTCTTCATCCTGAGTATTCTTGGGCTCACTTTACAGATAAGGAGACTAAGGGCACATCTGGCCAGTTGTTGGAAGCACCCTGATGAAAGCACAGGAACTTTCTTTGGAGCTGGTCTCAAACTTGGTTCCTCAGGAAATGTGTTGTGACCACTAGCATAACTGCACGCTGGAAATAGGGAGGATGCAACCAGACAGGCTGGTGCTCGAGGGCCCATCACTGCTCACAAGGTCCGGGCACTCCAGATAGCACTGAGAAGCTCGCGGTAGACAGCTCCAGCACAGCCGCATCGGGCCTCTAAGCCAGCCTGTTCTGTGGCCTTGTGGCCAAGAGCTGTGCCAAGTGTTTCTCAGTTTTGTGATAAACCATGAGGCTGTAATTCCTCGTGAATAAAGGAAGAGATGGATTGACTTGGGCCCTTAATATTAATTCATCAACCAGTATTAATTCTTACTCTCCAAAAAGCCTAAAGACCCAATAGGAGCAAAGCAGACTACTGATGTGGGTGGATGCTGAACCTGTACCAGCATCACTACCACTATCACCACCACAGCCCTGGGACTCCCAGTGTCAGACCTGTCCACCCTGGCCGCTTTCTCTCAGGTTACTGCCTGATGTGCCCTGAGCCCTCTGGGCCTCTGTGGCATTAAGGTGTGCAGAAGAAAGCCATGTGCTGGCCATCAGTGTCAGTGTGCTGTACCCCACTGGGGCTGGCCCTGTATCAATCACATCTAGTCACATTTCTTCAGGGCTGACCATAAGGCAATTGTTTTAGTGTATTTACCCTATAAAGTCTCATCTACGTGACTCTAATATCCTCCCAACAAGCCCTGAACTGAAGGGACGGGCTGAAGTCCAGCAAAAGGGTTGCCACACAATGTGGGTCCAGAGCAATGACAGCGGCTTTGGAGTTCTGGAGTTCTGGAAATTTGATTCAACTGGGGCATTCAAGTAGAGGAATGGTCTGGGGGTCTTTGGGGCCTAAAGTTCCCTGGATAAAGCCTGGCCCAAGAAGAGCCAGAGAAGTGAGAGTCCTGGAAGCAGGGTCAGTATAGCAGGGGAAAGATGCTAAGGACAAAGTGTACTTGGTCTGAGAACAACTCTGCCATATGAGTTTGAGACAGCACAACCTATTCTGCAGTCTACATCCCACTCACACAAACATGCTGCTCCCTTTTGTAAGGACAGAGAAACTCATTCACTTCCTTCCTAGAAAGTATCTGCACCAAATCAATTAATGCAGGCAAAATGACTTCAAGTCCTTCTTGGTGTCTAATCTAAGTAATTTAAACCCATTTCCCCTCTGTTCTGCAGGTTGGCACAGTTTTCCTTCATCAATCACAGGCTCATAGGAGAAGGGGCAGGAAATTGAGTCCCTCCCTCCTTTCCTGAGCTGCTAGCAGCCCTCTGAATCAATAGCAGCTGTAAAGGCTCAAAGAGGTACACATACATAATATTTTTATGTGATTCCCCAAATGAATTCTTTTTAAATCATCTTTTTGGGGGGCACTTTGAAATAATTAAAGTCTTCCATCAAACTATCCTGGTGATCTCTTTCCATGAAAAGCCTTTAATTTCATCCTCCTTAATGTAATTCCATCCTGGCAGATGAACTTGGCCTTTTATATTTCTTCAAATAATGTGTCAGGGTCCTTAATCAGAGGAAGAATCCGAATAGAAGAGGGACGAGGCACACTTCAATCACAGAGGGGGTGTGGGGTGGTCACTGCAGCAGGAGGTGGCCATCACGGACATCTCCCCACACCCACCTGCCGACATCTCCACACCCCCCCACAATGAACCATGATCTATTCTCCAACAGATCGCTTCCACCTGGAAGTACTGATTCACCCATCCAGCCGCCCACCATCCCACCAGACACTCGGAACTGCCATCATGTCCTTGGCATTCTGCTTGGAACTGGGGAGAAGATAAGAATACACAAGCCAGCTCTGACTTAGGGCCACTGAAACCCAGACCAAAATGTTCCCTCTACCAGGCAGATGGAGCTGTCCCTATGAAAAAGACACACAGAGAAACAAGGCAGTGGAAGAGCTGACTAATCTGCGTCTCTCGGATGTTGGCAATAAAAGTAATGACACTTCAAATCCCTTACCCAAAAGGAAACACAGTGTTTGTTAGTAATGTATCTACTTCTGCACATCCAGTATGTTTCTCTCCCGAGACGGCCCCCAGGGTCTTTTCCTTTTTACCCTGTTCTGTCTCCTTCTCTGGCCAATTGCTCATTCATTGCCTTTCCCAATGGACTTCCCTCTCTTCCTACTTCCCCTTTTTCCCCAACTGCCTTAGCTAACCACAGTATAACATCAAAGTTTATTTTACATATGGTATTTATTTAAAATGAGATTCCATGGTTGTTAGTCTTCGCTTTTAATACGTTTCACCTTTTCCAGACCTCTCAATTCTCCACCACTGCCCTCTTTCTTCTTCAGACAACCAGAGACACTGCATTGCTGTGTAGCTTTCTGTGCAGCAGAATGGGGAGAGAGAACAGAGGACAGGTGAGTTGGGAGCAGTTTCCAGGTCTGGAAGAACAGAGATCCTGCCCATGTCAGTAAGAAGGAAGGGGTCAGGATCAAGTCCCAGGGTGCTCCAGAAAATGGAAATACGTGATGGAGGGGGACAAGATGAAGTGTTTAAAGTCCTGCAAAGGACCTCACCTAGGTCATCTTCTTCCCTCTGTGCTGCTGACACCAGAGAGGGTGCTGAGAGAATCAATGATTCTGCAACTAGTGTGGCCAGCAGAGAAAGGCAGGGAGAACCAGCCCTGTAGCAGCACCTGTGGGGGATTCAGAGAGCAGGGCGTGAAGATAGGACAAGGATATGACCAAAGGTGATGGGGTAGCCACCAAAGACAAGCTAAGATAGAGCCTGGCCAGGCCTCAGACCCCTGCATCTGGTAACAGGAGAGGAGCTACAGTGCAGTCGGACACTGTCCAAAGATGTCTATCCCCTGAGCTCCATGTCAAAGGTCACAGGCTTGATGGGACAGCTAGCTCCTGGGGTTTCTGTGGGTGCTGCCCCCAGTGAGACTCAGAAGCCTCAGAGGGGCTGAGGAAGCACCTTGAGATGTTTGCATTCCAGCATGATTATTGTAATAACAATGTAATCATTTAAAAACACTATCTTGTATTGCTCTAAGGAAGAGAGAGGTCTTTTCCATATTGTTTGTGCCATCTGTGAGCAATTTCCAAATTAATCTCTTAGAATGCCAATACAGAGGCCAGGCAGTAAGGGAGAGAGCCAGAGGAGCCAGAGGAGGAGCAGGAGACCAAGGAGGAAGCAGGGGCTGCAATGGCCAAGGAGAGGGTGGGAGCCCCTGTGAGCAAACTCTACCCTGGGACCAGGAAAGAGTTGGGGATGGAGGCTGGGCCCCGTCTTTGGGCCCTGTCTTTTGTCATTTACTTTCTGATGGGAAGGAAGTTCCTAAGTCTCTGAAAAAAGTAAACAAAAGCAAAATATCCACTAGAGAGGTTTTCAAAATAGAGATCCTATCCATAAACAAGTCCCTGACATCAGTTTCACAGATTATAATCAGTAGTTTTCTTTAATATGAGAAGAGGATGGAAAATAAGAAAAATACTATCCTTCCCTCCCCACCCCAGAAAAGAAACCAAGGTGACAGAAAGAAGTTCTGGGTCAGGGGCAAGTAATAAACTGGGTAGGCCTGTGCCGCCTTCTGTCAGAGAGCAAAGACATGCTCTCAGACTACAGGGCCATGTCCAAAGAGCACAGGAACTGGCTCCAGGGAGCTCCCACTGGCCAATGATATGACCATTTGAACTGTAAAAAGAACTGTGAGGAGAACTGACTGGAATACAGTAAGTATATAAAAGCTCATGAGTCCGTGACTGCAGCAGGCCAAAAGGTGTCCTTAAAAGATAAGTCCACGATCTCATCCTCGGAACCTGTGAACAGCATCTCACATGGCTGGGGATGTAATGAAGCAGAGGAGCGCATCCTGGACTCTCAAGTGGGCCTTACATGCAGTCATGTGTGTCCTCATGAGAGACACAGCTGAGACGGGGGCAGTGGGACCGCAGATGCAGGGATTAGAGAGAAGAAGCCATAGAAGCCACCAGAAGCTGGAGGAGGACAGGAATTGATTCTCACTGGGGCTTCTAGAGAGCTCATCCTGGCTGACACCTTGATTTTAAACCTCTGGCATCTAGCATTGTAAGGGAATTGATTTCTGCTATTTAAAGACACTTATTTTGTGGTCATTTGTTACAGCAGCAATGAGGAACTAATAGACTAATGATACTCCAAAAAAGAAAAAGTGAAAATGAGGAAAATAGGAACGATCAGAGCATGCAGCACAGAGTGTTTTTGTTTGATGCACATGTACTGTAGCTGTGAGTAGTCTGGGTTGGGCATGGAAATTTATTTCTTTTTGAGTCACAGTCAAAAAAAGGTAGAAAAAACCGGTCCAGGGGCTTTGGAGTCAAACTACCCAAGCACGTAACTCACTTCTGCCCCCTCAGGCCAGGTGACTTGGGGAAGGTTACCCTAAGCCTCTGGTCCTTGTCCTGACCTTACCCACACTCAGACTGATCATGCCCCTCTCCCAGTTGATAGAGGCTTTGAGCTTAGGTTTTGTGCAGGCTGCTCCATGACATCTCTAAGCCAAAAAGAACTGAGCCAATCTGCAGAAGTAGGATGAGGACAGATGAAACTTACAGTCAGTGCTGAACTACCCAACCACGATGATAAAATATGGCTGAGGATATCGGGTTTTGCATCAGGCAGACATGAGTTGGAATGAGGAGTTTCAACTCACTGGCTGTGCCATCATGGGTAAGTGACTTTACTAAGCTCTGTTAGTGAAAGGGAGGCAACGATACCTGCTTTACCAGGTCCTGGTAAATACTGGATAAGATCATGCTGAAAAGGGCTCAGCACAATGCCTGGTAATCATGTATACCCCATAAATTGTGGCCAGTAATAGCAGAAGAAATACCACTGGTGGTAGCAGTGGTGGCAATAGCAGTAATAACACTAAAACACCTGGCAAATGATTAGAATTTAAAAGACATTTATTAAGGAAATTAAATCAGAAATTTCCCATAGGCCTATGAACACCTGCATTAAAGGCTTACCCTATCCATGGATCATTATTCTCCTTAATCAACTATACATTGAACAATTACCTACAACTAACTATACATTGAACAGTTGAACCTGGCACCTACTAGATGCCGGGTACTGAGACAGAAAATGAGAAGAGAATGAAAAGTGGAACTAACCCTGTCCTCATGGAGTTTACTGGACTTGTGAACCTTAACCTTGTAAGTGACAAGAGAACGTTTTGAGAATCTGATTGAAAGACCATTAACCCTATGCGTATATAACTGTTTCCCAACATTTGCAGGACTCAGGGAAGGGCAAGCCTCTGCGCCAAGAGAGCTTTCTGCCCCAGTTACACCTGTCCATACCAATCCTTGAACCTCCCTGATCATTACTGCAAAGGACAAGCCCTAAGTAAAGCCCACGGCAAATGCCCAGAGTCAACTGCTTGGTGCAGAATAGGTACCAGAGTCCCTGAGCAGGTAAGTGCAGCACGTCCTACGTTAGTTCGGTGCAAGAAGAGCTCCCTGGCTTACTGCCGAGGCAGACAGGACTGAGAATCTGATTGAAAGACCATTAACCCTATGCGTATATAACTGTTTCCCAACATTTAACTGTCCAACAGGAATCTGGTGACATCAGAGGAACCTGGTCCCATACTGAAATCTGCCTGCAAGGTCTCAATTGTGCTTCACACACTTATCTTTGATTTTCTGACTGCCTCTAGAAGAACAGGCATGCCCATGTGCAACCCCTCTACTGCTCACTCAACACTGCCTCCTTCCTGGTTCCTGCAGATCTAGCTTGGCATCTACCCTATCCATGCTGGGCAGGGACACACTCTAGTCACAGTTTTGCCTGTACAGTTTCCCTAGACAGAAACCCCACTCTGCGGTCTTTCACCCTAGCCAATCCTCCTTCTCTGGAAAATATTCAAATATTTCTCAGTCCCTAACATGCCTTTTCTGTACCAGAACTCTTCCCATACCTATCCTGTCTTTACTCACAGGTTCTAAGCCCCTTTAGAGAAGAGCCTCTGCTTATTCACCTTTGACCACTGTGGAACCAAGTGCAGGGCCAGGCACACAGCAGGTATCTGGTGCATGCTGCTTTCTCTTTAGGAAAACAGAAGCTATGGCTAAAGAGCCATGAAGTGAAGGCAGGCAGGCAGGCTGGTGAAGAGAACTGGGTACATCTAGCTGAGCCCAACACTCTTACTGTGGGGCCAACCTCTGATGCTACCTAGTCTGGCTGAATAGGGTAGGGTCAAATCCTCTGGGCCACAGCAGCCAGCTTCTATCTGATAAGAGCACTGATAATGGCCACTTGAGAACCACATGTCATGGCCAGTGTGAAAGAGCAATCTAATTGGCTCTTCCTCTGGACCCCCTTATGAAAGCTCTCTGTTCTCCACTGCTGTCTTTATGACTGACCTCCAGTAAAGATGCCCTTAGTGAAGGGATTATTGAGAATTTCAAACCTCTGAGAAGTCACAATCTAGAATGGCCTGCTCCACTGCACAGACCCCTCACTCCCCAAGGCTGGCCCAGGCTCTAACGGCTCAAATCTGGAAAAGGCTACAGCCCTCTTCCCTACCTGCACCACGCACAAGTTTCCAAGATCCTCCCTCCTCCCTGGCCCTCAGGGGAGATCTAAGGGCAGCAACTGTCTGAGTCTTGGCTGTTGTAATGGTCCCTGGGGGTCTGAACTTTCAGCAGGCAAGCAGCTGGACCTCAGTGGACCTACCTTGGAGATTAATGGTAACCATCTACCCTCCTTAAAAGCCAGTTCCTGTAACTCCCAAATCTTGGAATGTGGAGCCTAGAAGAGACATAAGATTCCATCTCTTACCAGTTGAGGATACTAGGCCCAGAGAAGAGAAGTACAGGAACACACAGGCAATTAATAGCACTTAAATTCATCAGGATTCTCGCTCCAGGGCCTCTTCAACTAAGCACCTAGTTTAAGAGGTCTCTGGAGTTCTCCACCCATGAGCTGCAATCATAGAGCCTGACGGTTCTAACCTCATTGCAGCAGGTCCTCAAGGCAGAGAACATACCAGCCAGGGCCAAGAGGTAGTATGTATTACTGAGAGGTCTCCAGGGGCTGCCTATACAGAAACAGTGACAAGCAGGAGCTGGCCTGGCCAGTACTCCTGGAATTGAGGAGAGAGGCCCTGCCAGACAGCAACAAATTTATCAAATTTGGGACATTTGGGACATTTGGGACAGCTGGGACATTCCTCAGAGTCTGACCTAAAGGCAGCTTCTATCCATAGAGGCCCAAATACCCATCAATCCAGAATTCCAGAGAGTAGCTAACAGTTTTAGCTGGACTGAATGTCATTTCAATAGCTCTAAACACATGAGGCTCACAGAATTAGCCCACCCAACTTGCTCAATGCTTTGTGAAGTACCATTTAGCATAACCAAGTATGTAGGTCCTGAGATCAGAGAGTAGAGCTGGTACAGTACTTGGTAAGGGGCAAAATCTGCCTCTTACAAGCTGTGTAAACTGGAACAAAACATGAACATTTCTACCTCAGGTGCCTCAATTAGTAAAAATGACAACACCTATTCCATGGACTATCAGGAGTACTAAAAATGAAACAGGCAGAAGAAGCGCTTACCAAGATGCTTGGTACACAGAAAATCTTCAAAAAATGCTGATTTGCCCATCAGCTGAGGAATGGATAAAAAACATGTATTTTTA